CGAACTGTGTGTGGCCATAGAGTGAGGACTAGAGTGAGAGCAGTAGAGAGGGAGGAATAAAGTGAGAGTGGTAGAGAGGGAGAAATAGAGTGAGAGTGGTAGAGTGAGAGGAATAGAGGGGGAGTCATATAATGAGAGATGTTTAGTGAGAGTAATATAGTAAAAATAACCATGAAGCTAGGGAGATTAACTGAGACGTATTAGTGAGAGTGATGGTAAGGGTGATCCTGAGAGTAATGGTGAGAGTAATACTGAGGGTACTAGTGAGGGTACTAGTGAGGGTACTAGTGAGAGTGAGAAGGAGAGTACTAGTGAGAGTATTAGTGAGAGTGAGAGGGATAGTGAGAGTGAGAGTGATAGTGAGAGTGAGAGTCAGAGTGAGAATCAGAGTGAGAGTGACAGTGAGACAGAGAGTGAGAGTGAGAGTCGGCGTGATAGTGATAGTAAGAGTAATAGAGTGGGAGTCATATAGTCAGAGACATCTAGTAAGAGTAATATAGTACAAGTAACCGTGAGAGAATACAGCTAGGGAGATGAACGAGACATGTTTAGTAAGATGCATAGTAAGGGTAATAGTGAGAATAATAGTGAGAGTGATACTGAAAGTAATAGTAAGAGTAATACTGAAAGTAATAGTGAGAGTAGTAATGAGAGTAATACTGAAAGTAATAGTGAGAGTAGTAATGAGAGTAATACTGAAGGTAATAGTGAGAATAATAGTGAGGGTATTAGTGAGAGTAGTAGTGAGAGTAGTAGTGAGAATACGAATGTGGGTTTGAGTGAGATTAATAGTGAGAATACTAATGTGGGTAAGAGTGAGAGTGATAGTGAGGGTGATAGTGAGAGTAATAGTGAGACTACTAGTGAGTACTCGTGAGAGTAATACTGAGAGTAATACCGAGCAAATCTGAGAGTAATATTGAGTAATACTGAGTAATACTGGGAGTAATACTGAGGGTAATAGTGAGAGTAGTAGTGAGAATAATAGCGAGAGTATCTAGTGAGTAATACTGAGGGTAATAGTGAGAGTAGTAGAGAGAATAATAGTGAAAGTGAAAGTGAGCGTGACAGTGAGAACTAATAGTGGGACTACTGTGAGTAATAGTGAGAGTAATAGTGGACTACTGTGAGTAATAGTGACAGTAATAGTGTGACTTCTAGTGAGACTACTAGTGAGTAATACTGAGAGTAACACTGAGTAACACTGAGTAATACTGAGTAATACTGAGTAAAACCAAGTAATACCAAGTAATACCAAGTAATACTAAGTAAACTTAATAACACCAAGTAACACCAAGTAACACCAAGTAACACCAAGTAACACCAAGTAACACCAAATAACGCCAAGTAACACCAAGATATACCAGTAATACTGAGAGTTCTACTGAGGCACTAGTGAGAGAATGGTCAGCCCACACATGGCCCGATGCTCGCGCGCGGCGCCCACGTGACCGCCACGTGACCGCGCTCAAAAACTCAGCGCGCCCGGCGGTCACAAAAACCTTCCCCCCAGCGTCTCTTCTCTTTCCGCAAACACCCCCACCATGGCCGAGTCAGACCTTTCGTGGGCCGCCGTCAAGAGCCACGGCGCCCAGCTCCTCTTCGACCCGCGCCGCAGCGTCCGCGTGCCGCTGCTCGCGCTGTTCTGCCGCGTGTTGGCCACGCCTGCCGCCTTGGCCCCTGACGACCTTGAGGCCGTGCACAAAACCGCCCGCTGCGTCTTCCGCACGCACAGCTACTACCAGGACGCGCCGCTGCGGGCCGCCGCCTCCCGCGCCGTGGCCGCGCTCGTCGCGTTCGACGAGACGTACCAGGATTTCTTTGCCCAGAAGCTCCAGGCCGCCGCGGCCCAGGGCGCCAACATGCCCGTCTCGGACGCGCTCACGTTGTTGGCCTGGACCAACCAGCTCTTGGCGGCGGCCGCCGCGCGGCACGCGGGCCCCTCCGCGGCCGCCGCGGGCGACTTTGCCGACGCACCCGCCGTCGCCCGCCTTGTGCACGTGCAGATGGCCGTGCTCTACGCGGCCACGCTTGCGGCCAGCACGCGGGCCGGGCGCGCCGACTCGCACCTCCAGCGCGTGGGCCGCCTGGCCATGGCGCAGACCAGGACCGCGCTCGTGGCCGTGTTGCGCACGCTCGCGCCGCCGCAGCAGCCGCGCTTCGTCGACGCGTGCTTCGCCCACGCCGTGGCCGCCACGGGCGCGGGCGCCGCCGCGGCGGCGGTATACCTCGCGGCGGTGGCCGACGCCGTGCACGCGTTGCAGCCCACGGCGCCCGGCTTGTGGCACCACGTGGCCGGCTCGCCGCTCCACGCGCAGGCCGTGCAGTTCTTTGCGGCACACGTGCTCCTGGCCCGGCCGGCGCCTGCGCCGCACGCGGTGGCCGCGTTTGCGCAGCTGTACTTGGCGCGCCTCGTGGGCCCGGCGCAGTTCGCCGCGGACGTGTTGCCCGCCGTGGACAAGGCCGTGCTGCGCTCCGCGGAGACCGGGCTCGGCGTGCTCGCGCCGCCGCTCTTTGGCGCGCCGGGCGCCGTGGACGTGTCCGCGGTGTTCGCGTCGTCGCGGCTCTGGGGCCTCATGCTCGCCGCGCTCAAGTCGCCCAAGCCCGCGGTGCGCCTGCTGGCCGCCGCGGCGTGGCGCCTCGTGGCCGCCAACGCCTTGCCCTCCGTGCTGCCCGCGGACGCCGCGCGCATCATTGCCGACGTGGCCGCTGCGCTCAAGGCCACCGCCAGCGCGGACGCCAAGGCCGTGCTCGCGGATGCGCTCGCCGTGTTCGCCGCCGCGCCGCCGCCCGTGGCCGCCGCGCTCCTCGCGGCCGTGTGCCCGCTCGTGGCCCGGGAGCAGAACGAAGCCGTGCTCCTGGGGCTCGTGCGCGTGTTCACGCAGACGTACTTCCGCGCGCTCCTGGGCGGCTGGGCCTTGCCCGACGCCGCCGCGCTCGCGGGCCAGCTCCAGGCGGGCGTGGCCCACGCCAAGGCCCCGCTCCGCAGCGTCTGGGCCGCGGCCGTGGGGCTGCTGCTCCTCGGCACGACCGCCGCCGACGGGGTGGGCCTGGGCACGCTGCTCCTCGCCACCGCCACTGGCGATGGCCGCCTGCGCCTCGCGGACGCCGTGCGCGAGCTCCTCCCGCCGTTGACCAAGGCCTTGGCCGACGCCGTCAAGTCCCCGCTCTTGACCGTGGCCAACAAGGGCATCATCCCGGCGTACGTGTGCATGGCCTTGGCCGGCCTGGCGGCCGTGCCCGCGCCGGACTCCGCCGCGCTCTTCCGCGACGCGTTGCTCGCGCTGAACGACACCTTCTCCATCTTGACCAGCCCGCAGGTCTTGGTCAAGTTGGCCGGCCCCGAGCAGGCCTGGTGCGCCCGCGCGCTCGTGCCCGCGTTCCGCCACTGCGCGTGCTCGCCCGAGTATGCCGTCGCCTACTTGCACTTCGCCATCTCCGCCAACGTCTCGCACGCCACCCGCCTGGAGACCGTCGCGCTGATCCCCACGCTCCTCCGCATGGACGCGGCCCGCGCCTCCGCCGTGTTGCTCGCGGGCATCGACTCCGTGCTCGCTTTGCGGGAGCACCCCGCCGGCGACGTGGGCCTCGCCCACGACTTGAGGCTCTTGGCCCCCGTGCTCGCCCACCTCCTGCAGATCAGCGACAAGAGCATCGCCACCAACAACTTGCTCGGGCTCTTTGTCGCCGCGCACCACCCACTGATCCCCGTCAAGGAAAACTGGATCGGCTTGGCCTTGCGCGCCTCCGTCGACCCGGGGCTCATTGTCAAGGACCACGCGCACGCGCTCCTCCAGATTGCGCTCGACACGTTGGACTCCGCAAAGCCCAACGGCCCCACGTTCAAGGCTGCCCTCAAGGCCATCTCCACCATCTGCTTCATCGACGCCAACGCCGTCGAGCCCCTCGTCGCTCGCGCTTTGAAGGCCGACTTGTCGCTCGCGCATCTCGCCGACGTCGACGACACGGGCCTCAAAATATGGGCGGCCCCGGAGGGCGAGCTTGTGGTCGACGTCCTCCAAGCGGCCAAGCCCAAGAAAGTCGACGACAAGAACTCCAAGGACTATGAGACAAGGAAGTGGGAGGAGAGCTTGCAAAAGGAAATCTCCTCTAAAAAAGCCGTGCAGAAAAAGTTGACCAGGGAAGAACAGGCCCAGGTCAATGCGCAGCTCGCAAAGGAGTCCCTGGTCCGCGCCAACCTCAAAACCATCGTCAGACGCTACAACCGCGCCTTCTTCATTATTCGTGAGCTTTGCCAGCGCCCGGCCTCCGATTCGGAAGGCGGAAGCGAATGGTTCAGTGTCGCCGTGTTGGATCTCTTGCAGCTCTTGAAACATGACTTCTCGTTTGAGCTCTTTGGCCAGTTCGCGGCAGAAACGTACATCAAGGCTTCTCACGTGTGCAGCGATAGATTGCACCCATTGGAGGAGACCACGGGCGCTGTGACATTGAGACTTTTGAACATTCGGGGCATCCCTGAAAACTTCACGCAGTTGCCGTTGCTCGACTTGTTGAGCACAGTGTTGTTCAGAATCAAGTTCATGGTCGACGACTGGTTTCATGTCAACGGGTTTATCTATATCTCTCCCTTGATCATCGAGGTCTTGAAGGTGGGCATTTCTGTGGCGAACAGAAACTCCAAGAAGCAGGTTGTGACTTCGGAATTCTCTGACGAAGATCCTGAAGAAGAACATCTCTCCTTGGCCCTTAGTATTCTTTCCGCCCAGGACATGCTTCAACACCAGCAAGTGCCCCGTGAGCCAATCTTGAAGGCCATCATTGCCTTGATGAGGATACCCACCAAGGCAAAGATGGCCAAGGAATGTTTCTCCACTCTTTGCCAACAGATTTCCGTCAGCTTCACCCGCGAGGATATGAGCGTCTTCCTCCAAAATCTCTTGTCTCCTGATGTCTTTGTCAAGACAGCCATTCTCCAGGGAATCGATGCGGAGTTCGACTTGAGCGAAGAATTCTCCTTTTCAGATGAAATCTGGATCACGATGCATGACAACGATGAAAAGGCTGCCGATTTGGCCAAGACAATCTGGGGGGACAGTAGTTTTGAACTTCCTCCCGACGCTTTTGAGAGACTCCTTCAATTCATTGACGAACAAGACAGTGGATTGCGTCTTACTATTGCTAAGTCTATTGCATCTGCCGTCAACATCTTAAACGAAAATGACAGCACCGTCTATCAAAAGGCTTTGGACACTTTAGTCGCTGTTTACCGTGAAAAAGAAATCCCGCCTCCTCCTCAAAAAGACAAGTTTGGCTTGGTTGTCAACAAACATGCGGCTCAGAGAGATTTGTGGGAGCCGAGATCGACTGTGGCTATCACGCTCAGGCTTTTGAGTCCTCTTTGCATGTCACGGGAAGCCGTTGAGAAGATCTTCAATTTTCTTGTCACCCAAGAAAGCTTAGGTGATAAAGAAGATTTGGTGGCCCAGGAGCTCTTAGAGGCAGGTACGGAAGTGGTCAAGGAGTGTGGAGCAAACTTCGTGGAGATCTTGATCCCTATCTTCGAGCAATGTCTTGCTCAACCCGATAAGAGTTCCAAAAAGCAAGACAGAATCAAGGAGCTGGTCATTATTTTGTACGGTTCCTTGGGCAGATACTTGGGACCTTCCGACGACAGATTACTTATCATTTTCGATCGTCTTTTGAAGACTCTTGATACTCCATCTGAGGATGTCCAGTATGCTGTTGCAGAGTGTATTGCTCCTCTTGTCAAATCTTTCGAAAGTTCCATACAAGATCGCTTCGATGAGCTTTTTGAGAAGTTATGGAATGCCAAGACTTTGGCTGTTCGTAAAGGTGCCGCTTACGGTATCGCAGGTTTGGTTAAAGGTGCCGGTATTAAGTCTCTCTTCAACAATGACGTTATGAGAAATCTTATGACGGCATCTGACGACAGCAGAAACCCAAATGCTAGGGAGGGTGTATCGTTTGTGCTCGAGTGCTTGTCTCAGTCTTTAGGCTCAATGCTCGAGCCTTATGTCGTGGAGGTTTTGCCAATCATCTTAAAGTTCTTGGGTGATGCCAATCCTCAGGTCCGTGAGGCGACAGATTACGCCTCTAGACAGATCATGAAATCAACCACTAGTTACGGTGTGAAGCAATTGATTCCATTGGCTATTGGGAATCTCGAGGACACTGCGTGGAGATCGAAAAAGGGATCTGTAGAGTTACTTGGCTCGATGGCGTATCTCGACCCCACGCAGTTGTCTGCATCGTTGTCGACAATTGTCCCAGAAATTGTGGGTATTTTGAATGATTCGCACAAAGAAGTTCGCAAGGCTGCTGACCAGTCGCTTAAAAGATTTGGTGAGGTTATCAGAAACCCGGAGATTCAGACTATTGTTCCCGATTTGATCAAAGCCATCGGCGACCCGACTAAGTACACGGACGACGCATTGGATAAACTTATCAAGACTCAATTCGTGCATTATATCGATGGTCCTTCTTTGGCGCTCATCATTCATGTTATTCACCGAGGCATGAGAGAAAGATCTGCTCAAACAAAGAAGAAGGCCTGTCAGATCGTCGGAAATATGGCTATTTTGGTTGATAGCCACGATCTTTTGCCATACTTGCCCACCTTGGTCGCAGAGTTGGAGGTCGCCATGGTTGACCCTGTGCCTGAAACGCGGTCTACTGGTGCTCGAGCATTGGGATCTTTGGTTGAAAAGCTTGGCGAAGAGAGATTCCCAGACTTGATCCCTCGACTTTTGGACACATTGAACGATCCTTCAAAGGCAGGAGATAGACTCGGGTCTGCGCAAGCACTTGCGGAAGTGATCTGTGGTCTTGGTCTTGTCAAGTTAGACGAGATGTTGCCTAAAATTTTGGGCTCCACTCAATCTCCATATGCACACGTTCGTGCCGGCTTCATGCCGTTGTTGTTGTACTTGCCTGTGTGTTTCGGCTCGCAATTCTCACCTTACTTGTCAAAGATCATTCCACCTATTTTGCAGGGTTTGGCCGAGACGGATGAGGACATTCGCGGCACCGCTTTGAAGGCCGGTAGATTACTTGTGAAGAACTATGCTTCAAAGGCAGTGGACTTGTTATTACCAGAGTTAGAGCAAGGATTGGCAGACTCTTCATACAGAATTCGTCTTTCTTCCGTGGAGCTCACGGGTGATTTGTTGTTTCAGGTCACTGGAATTTCAGGTAAAAACGAGCTTGGCGAAGAGCAAGTCGAGGTTAACAGAAACCTTGTTTCGGCCTTGGGCCAAGACCGCCGCGACCGTATTTTGGCTGCTTTGTATGTGTGTCGGTCTGATGTCACGAGTGTGGTAAGGTCTGCTGCCATTGATATTTGGAAGGCATTGGTTTCCAACACACCAAGAACGGTTAAGGAGATCATCCCAAGTTTGACTCAAATGCTCGTGAAGAGATTGGGTTCTATTGATGAAGTCCACAGGACAATTGCTGCCACAACATTGGGTGATGTTGTACGCAGAGTGGGTGCCAATGCCTTGTCGCAATTGTTGCCTACGCTTGAAGAGTTGCTCATCTCCAGTGACTCTAACGCTAAGCAAGGTATCTGTATTGCTGTCACTGAGTTGATCAACTCTGCCTCGCCAGATGCATTGTATTCATTCCAGCAAACTTTTATCAAAATCATCCGTGACGCATTGCTTGATCCATCCTCGGAAGTGAGGGGAGCCGCAGCACAGGCTTTTGAGGCCCTTCAAGAGCAGTTGGGTAACGTCGTCATCGATGAAATCTTGCCAAACTTGTTGAACATGTTGGACTCCGAAGACTCAGAAAACGCGTTGCTTGCTTTGCAGGATATCATGGCCACGAAGTCTGACGTTATTTTCCCAATCTTGATTCCAACGTTGTTGTCACCTCCTATCGACGCCTTCAAAGCAAAGGCGCTTTCTTCCTTGGCTTCTGTTGCTGGCCCCGTTTTGTACTCCAGACTTGCTTCGATTATCAACACCCTTCTCCAAGCGGTAATCGATTCCAAAGAGAATGGAACACCAGAAGAAGTGGAGGAGGTACAGGATGCTTTCGACAAGACATTGTTGTCCATCGATAGCGATGAAGGTGTGCACCCTGTGATGCAGCAGTTGATGTCTTTGGTCAAGCACCAGGACCCTGCCAAAAGAGCTGCTATTTGCGAAAGACTTGCCATTTTCTTTGAGGAGACCACACTTGACTACTCCATATATGTACAAGACATGGTCTCTCAGCTTATTTTCTACTTGGGAGATAAAGACGATAAGGTCGTTAAGGGTGTGTTTGAGGCTTTGTCGACTTTAATTAAGGTACAAGACAAATCTGTTTTGGAGCAATTGGTGAAGCCCGCGCACCAAGCATTGCTCATATCTGGTGTCAAGGGCGAAGACTTGGCTGGTTTTGCCTTGCCAAAGGGGCCAAGTTGCGTATTGCCGATTTTCTCTCACGGTTTGATGTACGGTAACAGCGAGCAAAGAGAGTTGTCTGCGTTGTCTATTGCCGAAATCATTGACAGGACTCCAGCTGCTAACTTGAGGCCATTCGCCACTCCAATCACTGGACCTTTGATTCGTGTGATTGGTGAGAAGGTCTCTTCCGATATCAAATCCGCCATCTTGTCTGCGTTGACAAACTTATTGAGAAGAATTCCTCAATTCTTAAGACCGTTCATTCCCCAGCTTCAGAGAACATTTGTCAGATCCTTGTCAGACCCAACTAACGAAAAATTGAGAAATGGTGCGGTTGAAGCATTAGGTCTTTTGATCGAGTTCCAACCTAGAGTGGATTCACTCGTTACTGAATTGGTCACTGGTGCCAAGAACGCTGAGGATCAAGGTATCAAAAACTCTTTGCTTAAGGCAATGTTGCAGGTGGTTCTCAAGGGCGGAAAGAACATGAGCGAGGCCTCAAAGTCCTCGATCATGTCTTTGGTTGAAGAGGAGCTCAACACTGTTGACGACAAGTCTGCTGTTGCGTATGCACGTTTATTGGGATCTCTTTCCCAAATTTTGTCTACTGAGGAGGCTGCAAACATTCTCAAGAACAAGATTTTGAGTAAGCGAGGCGACGAGACCTCGTTGAAGTTTGCTATTTTGTCGATCAACTCATTTCTTAGAGACACACCTGTTCACGTCTTTAGCACTGGGTTGCTTGACGAAATTGTCAGCTTTGTCTTGGAATGCTCGAATGCGCACTCGCCATATATTAGTGACAATGCCACTGTGGCTATTTGTAAGATTGCGTTGTTACATGGAGAGAAGAAGTCGCCAAAACAAGAGGGCCCAGAAACAACAAACACGCCATTTGACGTTCCTGAGTCTCTTAGAATCGCTTTGGTTGAGCAATTATCCAAATCTGCCATCAAGCCAGAATCCAACTCTAGCGACACTAGAAGATTGGCTTTGGTCACTATAAGAACAGTCGCCAGAATCAAGTTTGATGCATTTGTCCAGCCAAACTTCAACATGTTGGCTCCTGCTGTGTTTGCATGCTTGAGAGATGCAGTCATCCCCATCCGTTTGGCTGCGGAGAAAGCATACTTGGCTGTATTCAGGTTGATCGAAGATGTCGAGCAATGTATCTTTACACTGTGGTTTGAAGAGGCTTCCAAGACCACGATAACTACTGTGTTTGGGGCTGTAATCCAGCCAAGATCCATCGGTGATTACACGAAGAGAGTTGCCAGCAGGTTGGCTCTCGTCGAGAGAGAAAGACTCGAGGATGGTGGTGATGACGAAACAATGTTCAGTGATCGTTACGAAGACGAAAACGAAGTCTGGGCCGTCGGTGGCTTTTGAGGGCAAATACTCTTTATCATATAAACGAATAGAACTCTATAAATAGCTTCATGTCGACATTACCAGAAATCATTGCCGCGCAATGTAATTGTCTCTGTTCCAGGTCAGGTCCTAGAATACATCTTGATGGTGAAAAGAAATTGTCGAATATTAAAAGGGAGATGGACGCACGCCTTGGGTAATCTCTATTGTATCTATCCGTACTATTTGATACGGAAAATAATCAAGACGGTAGCAATGGAACACTGATATCAAAAGCGGGCACTCAAAATTCTGCTTGCATCGTGAGGTTTTGGGGTAGATCTAACCTCAAGCTTCTTAATGGGGGAAGGTGATTGGGGTCTTGTTGTTTAGCAGAGTCCGTCATGGCAGAATAATCATTCTGATCCTTGTTTTTGTCAAGGTTGTTTGAATCGGAATTCAGGCCGCTAGAATTGAATTGTGGGGTTCGATCCAACGATGGGATCTTGATGTTTGCCGATAAGCCTGCTGGTGGTTTAAAAAAGGTGGCTAAATTGGTGGATGAATTGTTCGCGGATAAAATTGGAGTATTGATATTGGAGAGGCCAAGTATTGGCGAAGTCGGTATGCTGAAATTGTTAGCTGGCGAATTTGGCCTGCTCTTTTTGAGCTTTTGCTTCACATATTCCAAATCACTATCTTCGAGTACGCGGGAACGACTTGGGGCTGGGTTTTGTATCTGCGGCTTGAGTGGCGTCATTTTTTGAAGAGACAGGAGTGTACTGAATGCAGCTTTTCCTGAGCCATGCGCATTGTTTTTGCTTGATTTGAGCGCAACACTCGATAAGTATTGTAGGTTATTCAGGGACCCCAGGGGCGTGAACCCGCCAAACTTGGAAGCATCAGCTGAGCCAAAGTAGTCTTTGAGTGAAGGAAGTGATTGAGAGTTTGGAGGCACATCAACTTTGGGGGACTTTGAGCTTTTGATGCCTGTTTGAGAATTAGATGACGTTTTCTCCAACACTTTGAGTTCTTCTGTTGCCGCTGATGCGAGAATGTCTATGTTCATCATCGATGAGCTTGGGGGCGATGAGCGCGTAAGCTTTTCGTCTTTCATCTGGATTTCGCCACTATCCAGAACAGGTGACAAGTCTTTTGACAGCAACTTGCTGCTTGTCTGTGGCGTCATGTCGGCCGTGGCTGGCGCACCCACCTCTAGCGTTTGACCGAGATGTGGAGAAGTCTTAAAAGTTGTCATCGACGGCTGGCTTGGGGGCGAGGAGCTCTCAAACATGTTGCCATACGCCGAGCCGGGCGTTTGTGGGATTACTGGTATCACCGACAGTATCGCGGGGCCCAGAGTTGGATCTTGGGGCGTCTGTTCGATGACGCCTGGCGACGCCTCGCTGCCAACCTTGGAAAGATTCTTGTTGCGCCGGCTGTTTGGGTTGGTATGTATTCTGGAGTGTCTGGTGAGTTCATCCAGACGTGAAAATTTCTTGTTGCAGCCTGGGAAAGAACATGAGTGTGGCTTCTCGCCGGTATGCGTTCGTATATGTCGGGTTTGATGTTCCAAGCGGTGGAAGGCCTTGTCGCACATGGGACATTTATATGGGCGTGTAGTCATATCTTTCCGCTTCGGTTCCGCGTTTGAAAACATCATCATAGGTATTGTTATTCTGGGTCGATTGATGGTGGTGTTTTCTTACGGCGAGTAAGAGTGTTTGGGCTAGCTTGTTGCGAGACAACGGCGGCTGGAGGTGAAAAGTGGGGCGAGGCTGAGCCTGGAATGTCGCCTTAAAAACAGTATCTCCCAGGCGAAAGATACCGCGAGCGAAGTCGGCGATAAGAACTCAAGTGTCTTGAAAGATCGCTTTTCAAACGATTTCCTGAAATACAGATACAAGTTCGATGACTTATGGGGGGGGGGGGGGGGGGGGGAATGGTCAGAAATTATCAAAGGCAAAGTGCGAGAAAAAAATATGGGGTAAGGGAAGAAAAAAACTTCTCCAGGATCTTGATGGATTTCGCACAATGGGCGTTGAGGAGAAGCGGAGAAAATCACGTTGTCGACCTGCACAAACTAAACCCGGCGAAAGCAGCATGTGGGAGAGGGCGACACGACCTTGGCTTCTTTGAATTTGAAGCCCGTCACTACATAGACGGATGAAGAATGACCCTCTTTGCGAACTCTTGAGGAATTATACAAATTCTCTTGCGTTTGAGATCCTTCCGGCCATTTGTGTTGCCACGTTGACAGAAAGCGCATGCTGGATTTCTTTTTTCTTTTTTTTTCTTTCTTTTTTCCTCCTCTTTTGGTCGACCCCTCATTCTGTTCCCACACGAAATCGCTCGCAGAACTTCGCCCGCCCTTTATCTTTCTTCATCGTGAGTCTGGAGTTCGCGCCTAATTCAAATTCTTAAACCCCGACAATCCTGGACACACTCAACTGAGAAACTCTTGCTTGATTAGGAAAACTTAAGCATTAGTATTACCATAGAAGACATTTTCAAGACACAAACCACAAAATTCTGTCATATAACTCTCGTGTGATTGTGCCTCGCATTATTGGTTGCCTGAAAAAGGAACAGCTACGACTGTAGTGAATTCTGTTTGTTCGAAATATTGGGCAATTAGGGAACCTCTCGCGGTGATTCCCCGGACTATATGCTCCCGGTCTTTGTGTAGGAATGTCGTTTGTAGTTGCCCTTGCGACGGACCCCGGAGGCGAGGCGCGGGATAGGTTGACAAACCTATTCAACAAACATCCGTACATTTCAAAGTCCGGGGAAGAGTTGATGCCCCGGAGTTAAGCCGTGTGCCATGAGAAGCCGGAAGTGCAACCGTGCGAAACTGAAGTCAGAGATTGGAAAAGGGCATTTGTGATTCGGAGTGACCAATCTTGCCAATTGACTCAAGATTTTTGTATCCGACGAAGATGGCTTTAGATATGGGTTTGTCTGCAGACGCTCTACTTCTTCCCATGGCCCGTATTCGGCCAGGTTCCGTAGTACCCTTTCTCTCTTGTCTTTTCTCTTTACATCCTTTCCTCTTTATAGCATTTTCCCATTTTTGTGCCTCTCCATTTTTACATACATAAAATAACTTACGAAGTACTCCACAATTTCTGTGCCTGGAGGTGTTCAATTGGAGAACAGGGCGAATGTTCGCAATTTATATCCTCACATCCTGCAAAGGTCATGCAAGCACCCTCGCTGCACTTGAGAAACATAAATATAAGGGCTGCAAAAAATATCACCCCTTTTCGTAAGATTTGGTTTTGTGTTTTGTGAACTGTATAGTATTTGCGTTGCATCAACGTGATATAAAAGCGTCCCTCTAAAGCATGCCGCAAAAATTTCGCATCCTAACTTTTTTCTTTCAATTCACGCCATTCTGAAATTCTTAAAACTTTACTACAAATTCAAAGTTGCAAACCACAATTTGCATTTCAACAAGAGCTAATCTAGTCAGAAACAGCCATAGTACTTGACAGAATTAATCTACGAATTTTTGTTGATCTTTTCTACACCCACTACCAAAGATGTCCGCCTCCCAAAATATAAGGGTGTCCTCACCAAAACTAACCGCTGTCCAGGCCAGCGAGAACAACAAGGAAAATGAGTTTCCGGCCGAAAAGGTGACACTGACCAAATTTTCACTGCCCGAATCAGCTCAGAAATTACTGAAAGAGCCTAGCAAGCGGAGACCATCGTCGTGCATGTTTGTAGCTAGCCTCCGTTCGACTTGCTCGGATGACGAGCTCTGTCGATCTGTGACGCGCCACTTTGAAGTCTATGGCGAGTTGGCATCGGTGAAAGTCTTGAGGGATCCTATGAACCGACCATATGCCTTTGTACAATACACAAATGACCGCGATTGCAAGCAAGCCATAAAGATGGGCCATAACTCCGAATTGGATGGCCGCAAATTGAGGTGCGAGGCTGCAAAAGTGAACCGCACTTTGTTTATCTCATCTTTCTCTGAAACAAAGCAGAGCGATATTCACCGCTTGGTTTGCAATTTTGGAGAAACGGAGTTAATTGCTCCCAGCTCACAGACAGGGAGGGTGATTGATCATTCCTCTCCCGAATCGAGCTTTAATTGGTTTATCAAGTTTTCCTACAGAGATGATGCGATACGGGCGTTTGCCAGCTTGTCCGACAGTGAAGAGTATCATGTGGAGTGGGCACAAAATATTGATGATGTAGCAGTGAAAACCAGTCAGTTTGACAAGTTTGCTATTTTCATTGGGCAGTTACCTCCGTCGGTAACGGAAGCAGATATCCGGTGCCATTTTTCTTCGCATGGAACTATCAAGGAGGTGTCTATTATTCAAAAGCTGTTTACAACATTTGCGTTTGTGACCTTCGCAGAAGAAGCGGCTGCAGCTAGCGCAGTAGCTCGGGATAATCATTCCATGTTCATGAATAAGACTATTCATGTTCAGTACAGAGAACTCACCAGTAAGGCAAACTCAAGAATTCTCCTCTCTCCTCGGATCCCTGTCGCCTTGGCACCTCCCCCCATTCATTTGAAGAGATTCTCAAGTGCAATTCCTCGATGGCCCACTAGTGTCAGGCCTAATCAATTTAACATCTACTCAGGAGGGGCCAAGCCGCCCCCAGTTGACCAGAGTAACTCGGTGTCCTACTCACAAGAATACTATCTCAAGGAAGCTGCCCCAGAGAGAAATTATCCCGGTACAGTTCCTAGGTTCCGAGAGACCCCAAAGGTTTCACCACAAATGCCTGTCTCAGATCAGAATAGTATCTACTACTTGATTCCGAGCGCTAGACCCAAAAATTAGATACTGAGTCGGGTGGCGCGCGCGCTATTGCACGCACTCGTATCTATGGATCGAAGCAGCCTTTTTCAAAGCAGTTTATCCTAGCCATTGTTAGCTCAGTTTTCGTCAAGTAAAAAATATAAAGTTATGCAAAAGTGCCACTCGTTCTCCGAGTTGGCAAGCTCCATGGGTGCAATAGATAACCCTAAGGCCCTCCGGGTATCACTCACGAAAAAGAAGTTATCGGAACTAAGTGTGGCCAAGAGCCATTCGCTCTATGAGCTACCAACGGACGACAATGCCCTTGATACGCGGCCATGGCGCAACCTGCCCAAGTATTTCACGCAGGTGCTCATATCAACAGTTGCGTTGGTAAAAATGTGTGCTCATGCCAAACTAGGCGGGTCAATTGAGATCATGGGTATGCTTACGGGGAAAATCGTTGGCGATCTGTTCATTGTCATGGACGTGTATTCACTCCCCGTCGAAGGAACGGAAACACGAGTGAATGCTCAAAGTGAAGCCTACGAGTTTATGGTGCAGTATCTTGACAATCTCAAAGAAGTGAAACCAAAAGACAGCATAGTGGGCTGGTACCACTCACATCCTGGATACGGGTGTTGGCTAAGTGGTATCGATGTGGCAACGCAAAGTCTCAACCAAAACTTTCAAGACCCATATCTAGCCATAGTCGTGGATCCGTCTCGCACACTGAATCAAGGGAAAGTTGAGATTGGGGCATTTCGGACTTTCCCGGTAGGATACACCGACGGTAAGAGCTCACAAGGACATGAAGCGACATCACGGAGGCCGGCTGGCGCCAAGAAAAGCCCAGAAAACATGGGAGCTCATTCAGACCAGTATTATTCGTTGGACATCAAGCTTTTTAAAGGCCCGCATGACGATGAGATCGTCAATTCGATCTTGGACAAATCTTGGATTTCAGGAATCGTCCAGACAAAGGCCTGTGCCGATTCATACGAGAAACACTTGTCGCAAAAGATTGAGGAAAACAGATCATATAAGCTGGAGCACGTGCAATCTGAAAAAGGCCATCCCGCAAGGTACGAGATGCTCTTTGAGAAGCTTGCCTCTTTGCACTCACCGCACGCGCCAAACGAAACCAGCCACAAGCTGGAACTTGATGGTCTTCGGGATATAATCAATGAGCGCCAGTATGATATTGCCGACCAAGACAGTAGCGACTGCAACGCTGCAGGAGGCATTCTGGGGATCGACGAGGACGGAAACATTGGCCAAGCCGAAGACGAGGACAACGACAGCTTCGATGGCATGGAAGACGATGAGAGCATGCAAAACATGCGTGCTGATGATCTCTATGAGCCCCCCGGCCTGGCTCAGGATTCGGAAGGTCGGTTTTCAAATGATTCGCCGGCTCCCTTGATTGCCGAAACCTGCGACTACGAAGACTATGAAGTAGGCAATAGTCCTGGCGGGAGCTTGCAGCGGAAAGGCACCAAGCGCATCTTGCTCACATCGCCCGAGGACTTGAAAACAAGTACCTCATTCAGAACAAGTCCGCGTGAACAAAGAAAGCGTTTTGCCGCCGAGGACCTCGGCAGCACCGTGAGCAACGAGTTGAGACATCGCATGCAGAGTATTCAGATCGAGCTCCAGGATCACGTGAAAGAAATGAAGGGGATTGGGCAGGCTGAACTCTTGAAGTTGGCGGGCCGAAGGGCACAACAGCGGGTATTCGGTAGGCAGGAGTGAGAAGCTGGAGCATGCAGCTGAAGCGGCAGGTGCGAAGAGCAAAGCAGGACTTTGTCTTGTTGAGAAGAGAAAACTGAGCAGTATTTGAGAAACATGGTGGTGCGTGCAATGAGGCGGAAATGCGTGCCTGTGCTAGGCCCAGATGTGCTTACTTTTGAACAGTCACTGGAGCATATCATTGTGTTGGTGGAAGAATCGAGGGTTGCCTGACGGGGCCCAACTAAGAGATTTATCAATTAGAAGCGTGCCAACACAGCTCGACTGAGCCTGACTGGGGCATGCATGCAAAGAAGAGGTTTGCCAATTCCAGTATTAAGATTTTTTGAACACAAGAAAATCCAATGTCTTTCATCTGGGGTTCTGGAAAATGGCATTCTGATTTCTGGCATCTTGGACTCGGGCATTTTGAACTCTGCCATTCTCAACTCAGGCACTTTTAACCCTGGCATATTGCGACTAGGGCATTTTGCAACTTTGATCTGGCATTTTGCAGTCTGTGGTGCTTGGTGTCGCACGTGACCGTGTTCAGTCTCGCGCGGCGATAGAATCCAAAAACAAAAAAAGACTTCACGCAGTGAAACTGCGTTGCTAATAATTAGCACATGGCCCATATCCCGGAGTCGTGGATCCAATCCCAAAACATCTGAGTGGTCGAAAAACACCGACCTGGCACCGCCAAACCGAAGCATCACGTGACCACGCGCCCCTCTCCTTGTTTGCACAGTGCGTGCCCTGCTGCCCAAGCTCGTGTGTGTAAGATTTGCTATCAGTGGGCAGGCATCGCACATCGAGCACGGTGCATATTTTTTTTTTTTTTCGTGCAAATCGAGCCCGAAGTGCTGAGAACACCGCTGCTTGCAACACGCCCATTGACTCCAGGCCATGTCCAACCCTTTGGTCGACAGGATTCTTAACAACCCCTTGACCTTTCTCCCCGCCAAGGCCCCGGAAAAAGAGGTCCAGACCACCAGGTCCCCCGCGTACATCGTTCTCAACTCATCGCTAGCCCCCGCAACTCTGGAGCCGGCCATGGGCACCAAGAAACACGGCAAACGCGAAGACAAGCGCCCCAAATCGATGGCAGAGGCCATAGCTGCATATACGGGGCGCAAGTACTTGACGAAGGCGGAGAAGCGGCGCAAATCGCGCCCGGAAGCGCGCCCGGTGGCTGATCCGGAATCGTCGAGCGACGACAAATACGAGTCGGCCTCAGAATTCCACCTGGAATCGTCTGTAATCGGCACTCAAGACGCGTCGGAAGACGTGGGTGAAGATTTGGGCGAGTTCGCGGGTCTCTCCAATGGGTCCGGCGACGAAGCCCTGGACCCCGACTCCGGGCTGGAAAGCTTGGACGGCGACGCCAGCGACTCCACATGCGAGAGCGACGACATCAGTGATCTTCCGCAGAGGCCCGGGTCGCCGATCGAGCGGGAGGCCCCGGAAAGCAGCGCCACGGGGGCCGAGCAGAACACGGCCGAGGAAAGTGCGGAGGAGGCGAGCGACGCTGATTTTGCCAGTGACGACAGTGCGCTGGAGAGCGAGCTGGAGAGCCTGCTGGAGGACGAGCTGGCGGGCGACAGCGACAGCAAGGCGTCCGGCGGAAACTCCGACGGCGGGGCCGGGTCCGCGGACATCCTGAACAGCAGTCACAACGGCGAGCCGGACAAGGCCCCGGGCCAGCCCAACGGCGACCAGACCCAGCTCAAAAAGGACTTGTTGCAGGACATGGAGAGCCCGGTGCGCGAGCCCGCCGAAGCCGCCGAAGGCCCTGCGGCCCCAGGCGCAAGCAGGCCGCAACGAAACACACACCTAGCATCCCACTACACGCTCGGCGAGACCGGCGGAAGCGCCGTCTGCGGCCGTGTCACGCGTGCGTGGACCGCGCCATACAAGGACACGCAGCCGGCGGGGCTCTTGAACTTCGGCGTCACGTGCTACATGAACTCGGCCATCCAGATCATGGTGCACATCCCGGCCGTGCAGCACTACTTGGCCGAGGTGTTTCAGGGCAAACACGCGGGCGTGCCGGCCAAGTCGGTCACGCACACGTTTGCCGAGTTGGCGCTCCGAATGTGGGGCGTGGGCTCCAAGAAAGGCGGGCCGCGCAAGCACGTCAACCCCAAGAAAATGGTGCAGCGGCTCGACGACATCAACTGCATGATGAGCGAGTGGCAGCAGGAGGACTCGCACGAGTACTTCATGAGCTTGATGTCGCGGCTCCAGGAGGACAGCACGCCCAAGGGCACGAAGCTCAACCAGCTGGTGCTCTACGACATCTTCGGCGGGCTTCTCGACCAGGAGGTGGTGTGCCAGGAGTGCCGCACCAGCAGCGTGACCAAGCAAGAGTTCTACGACTTGTCCTTGGGGCTCAACAAGAAGCGCACGCGGTCCAACGACGGCATCGACACGCCCGCCGACGACCACAAATTGGCCGCCAACAAGTACACCATCGAGAAGTCGATCCGCGACTTCTTCAGCACGGAAACCATCCGTGTCGACAGGGGCGACCCGGCGTCCGGCTACTTCTGCGAGAAGTGCCAGAAGCGCACCGTAGCCACGAAGAGGTCTGCCATCGAACGCAGCCCGCACACGCTCATGGTGCACTTGAAGCGGTTCAAGTTCAACGGCAACTCGTCGCTGAAGGTCAAGCAGCCCATCCACTACCTGAAGTTCTTGGACATGGGTGCGTACAGCCAGACGGAGGCCTGCATCAAGTACCAGCTCATGGGCGTCATTGTGCACGAGGGCCGCTCCATCCTGTCGGGCCATTATGTGGCCCACTGCCTCCAGCCGGACGGCTCGTGGTCCACGTACGACGACGAGTACATCAACAAGATCGACGAGGCCTCTGCGTTGAGCGACCCGTCGGCCTACTGCTTGGTGTACATGAAGTTGGAGGAGAAGACCAAGAAGCGGGCCAAGGCTGTGGGCGGGGACAGCAAGCGCGCCCGTACGGCCTAGATGGTGGTGGTGGCGGTGGCCTGTGTACCTGCCATCTGCCCGGGCCTGCTGGGTGCCGCACGTGCCCGGGGGAGCTGCTGTATACATATGTCTTGATATACAAAGTGTGAAACACCACTATCCAGAGAACAGGCACCAGGGAAACCAAACCAAACCAAACCAAAGAGAACTGAAAAACGAGCGCGCTGCCGCTCCTCGGTCAAGGGTTGACGCGCACGTTCGCCGGCTCGTCTCGCCCGCCGTCGGGGTCGGTCTTTTCGGGCGCCAGGGAGCGGTGGCGCGTCAACAACTGCGAGATGCCGTCGCGGAAACCGCCGAGAGGCGCCCCGGGCTCGTCGCACGGGCGGGCGCCTGCCCCCACATGGCCATAGCCGTCGGCGCCGAGCCGACTGCGGAACGCGTGGATGCAGCTGTCGTCGTCCGCCAGGCTGGACGTGGTGCTGGCCGAAGACCGTCTTCTTTTCAGCAGCTTGGCCTGCTCCGTGAGGCGGGCCGTCGAGCTGTGGTTGGGGATCTGCCGGATGTACTTCTTCTCAATGACGTATTTGCCCTCCTTGTAGTACTCCGAGTACTTGAACGACTTCTTGTAGTGCCAGCCTAATTTCGTGGAGCATTGCAGGCACCGGATCTTGTTGATGATGTAGACGCCGGTCCGCATGGACGTCTCCAAGTCCTGCTTCTCGCACAGGATGTTGATGAGCCGGTCGACCAAAAACGCGTCCCCCGACAGGCCCCAGAACTGGTCCGAGAGCACCAAGCTGGAGAGGCACAAATGGGCCAGGCACCCGTCGCACACAATGACCTCGGTATCCTCGACATCGTAGGACCTGGGCTCGAAAAAGTCAGTTAGAATCAACCCCATGATGGACCTGGGCTGATTTCCGGGCGCTGGCGTAGATTGGTCTTGTGTATTTTGTGTTTTTTTGTGTTTTTGTGGGGGGCAGAATCTTGCTGCCAAGGGGTGTGGTGGGATTGCGAAACCGATAAGGAGATTCAGACGGGGCCTCGCTGATAAAGGCAAGGCGGCTTTGGTGTGGGCTCCGGCAGAAAAAATGGAACGGGGCGCGGGCGGCGGTGGGGGCGCCTCGGGATATAATATTGCTGCTGGTCTCTGGCTTGGGCTCGGATTTGCAGTATGCCTCGAGAATAAAAAAAACAAAAAGAAGGGCGGAACAAGCGGCAAGAAATCAGGGGGCTGGGTGGTAGGTCGTGGCGCCACCTCGTCACTACTCCCGGTGAGAATGTCTCGCTTAGAAGGAAATGTCTCGCGGCCCCAAAAAAAAAAGAGAGGGCGGCCCTGGGCAGGTCCAGAGAACAGGCCGCAGGACGCTTGGTGAGGGCAGGACGAAAAACAGCCGTGTAATGCGGGTGCCGGAAAAGGCTGTCCTCGGTCCAGGCTCACGTGCCGGGCAGGGAAGTATGGGCAGATTGAGGTGAAGGGGACGTCCAGGTGGAATGGTGCCTGTGTTGTGGAGGGGCGGGGGTCGCTGTTTGGTTGTGGGCCTGAAAAGCGTGACGGGCCCCGAGCCGTGTATCAGGTCTTCAGAACTTGTTTTATTTTTTTTTTGCTATAAAATCCGGCCTGAGGGCACTTTACCAGAGGGAGCTTGCGGAAGGAATCACAATGGCGTGAGGCTGGCGCAGGTTTATGAGGAGACAGTTTATGAGGAGACAGGTTTATGGGATACAGTTTATGGGATACAGCTTTATGGAATACAGCTTTATGGGATTCAGGTTTATGGGATACAGGTTTATGAGGATACTGGTTTATGGGATACAGTTTATGGGATACAGCTTTATGGGATTCAGGTTTATGGGATACAGATTTATGAGGATACTGGTTTATGGGATACTGGTTTATGGAATACAGCTTTATGGGATTCAGGTTTATGGAATACAGATTTATGGGATTCAGGTTTATGGAATACAGATTTATGAGGATACTGGTTTATGGAATACAG